TCCCCCAGCCAGCCATGCTGGCTGGGGAATCCTGGGAGTTGAAGTCCACACGTCTTAAAGTTGCCAAGTTTGAGAAACACTGCTTTAGACCATATCAGACTTAAGTCAATCCAGCTGTTACTGTCCTGTCTGACTGACAGCAGCTCTCCAACATTTTCTGCGAAGAGCAGATCTTCAGTGGTGTTTTAAGTTCAGTATTATAATGCTGGCATTGGTTTTATATTAGCTGATGATTTTTATCGTTTGCTTAAACAATGCTTAGGTATAAGTGCATATCCAATATAATACTAGCACTCTTATCTTCAACTCTGTTTTTAAAATTAAAGGTTAACTCTGAGCATCTTGTGTGCTTTCTAACAAGCTATAGATCTAGGGATGGAGAAAGAGGCAGTCTGGGGCTTTCCAATCAGCCTCACAAATTACCCCCTTCCCCCCAAACTAGCAGCAATATTGGCCTACCAGTCCAGAGTGCAATAGTTCTGCATTCTTTAAAAAAGGAAAGCATTTTCTGAAGTGTAAATGGCAGACTTCTGAATCAATCAGATGCTGCTTTGTGGCTGTGCAGCCAATGAGAGTGTTGGAAGAGTTATAGCTTCTTCCCTCCCTTGCCACTACTGTGTTGATTACATGTGCACCAAAGCCACTGTTGTCAAGTGAAGCACCATGTCCACGCCACCAATTAAGAGCAAAGCCCCACAGTATGTTTGCACAGGCAGTGCGCTCAGACTTTTATCAAAGCAAAGGGCCCCTTTGAAGATTCTACAGAGCCCTATAATTTAGTTAGAAGTTCAAGATGTAGCAAACAGCTAGGAATCAACTGCCTTTTCTTGCTTTATATCCAAGGACAGTGTAGCCTGAAATCTGTTGAATCTACCATGAAGCAGCATTACCTTCTTCTTATCGTCCTCTTCTTTTTTCTTTATATTATAGATTACTTGGAAGAGATCCTTCAGATCTACAACTAGAGGTTCAGCCTAAGAAACAGTCAAGTGGGAAGCATTTTTTTAAAAAAGCAGATAATTCAAGTGCTTGAATTACAAGTACTTTACAGGGCAATTAAACAGTTTCAAGAAATGTAAACAATCGTGCTAAGCACCATTCGAGGAGAAATGATTACTCCAGGCCTGCAGAACTAAGAGGAATTGTGAAGTATCCCAGTTACTGATCAACTCTGCAGTTCTCTAAGAACATCTTTCTGGAAGGTCTAAGGCAGTGTTTCTCAATCTTGGCAACTTTAAGATGTGTGGATTTCAACTCCCAGAATGCCCCAGCAAGGCACACATCTTAAAAGTTGTCAAGGTTGAGAAACACTGGTCTAAGGAATAGGAGGCCGAGCATAATTCTGAGCCAGAATGAAGCATAGCTCGTTTTCAAGTGTTGCTCCATTATGCAGCTCATATACACTCTGAATGTAATAGACAGGATTACAGACTACTATTAATAGAGCAATCCAGTAGGAATTTTCTTAGCAATGATTGTCCAAACAGTATGTTTATGGATACAGCACATTCAGGGAGAATCTGCAGCTGAACTGAGTCAGGGAAGTTACTTTAAACCAGAGATGAACAATCTGTTTTGGCTGGAGGAGGTGTCACGTTTCCCTTCGTTGTCTGGGCTGGTGGCAGCAAGGGACAATAGCTTCTAACTTTATCTAACTCCCTTTCTGAACTACACAATCTCAGCATCCTAAGATAACCTGTATTATTTTTGTGCTGTTTCCCATTACTGTTGCACTATTATCCTATTACCTGTTGTGCAGTTTTTATGGCAAAGAACTGGTGCTGCCCTTCTCCCCCACACACATAGCCAAAGGCCCGGTTGTCCGTCACATCTCGAGCAATAAAGGAGATTTTGTTGACTGGATGCTCATGTTCAATAACCTGGAATCAGATCATGTAACACAGAAATAACCTTGAATAGCAAAATCCTTTGACAAAGTAATCCAAACTCAAGACCAGCAATTTGACAAGTTTGCACATCACTCTTAATTGTTTCAAGGAGGTTTCTAATCAGGAATGCTGCCACTCTTGTTCATCTCCAATGGCTTTAAAACAATTTTTACTCCGGTAGATAAAACACTATAAGTAGATTCACATATCACTGTTTAATCTTGGTTGATTGACTAAACCAGTGTTTCTGAACCTTGCCAACTTTAAGATGCGTGGACTTCGACTCCCAGATTTCTGGGAGTTGAAGTCTATGCATCTTAAAGTTGCTAAGGTTGAGAATCACTGGACTAAACCATACCTGGTTGGGTTTATACATTACACTAAGCAAAAAATCAAACCAACTGCATTATAGTTTAACATATAGTTTGAATCTACCAGTACAAAGAACTAGAAAACTAAATTCTCCTGAATAAGTCATATATGCATACATTAATCATAGAAACAGAAACCCTAGATATAGTTATTTATATTACAAGAGAAGTGTTACATTCCAGTTTAGAACAAGGAATATAGACAAGAAGTCAGATATTGATCGAAGATGTCATGTCAGTTGCTTATTTTTTGACCTAACAAGAGTAGACCCTCAACATTAATTTCTCATTTGCTGTTTACAAATCATAGCTAACCCAGCTTTACATAGTGATTCATAAACTGTAGCAAGAGTTAGCAGGCAAGTAATTTTTTAGTTAAGCATAGGATATATTTAACCCAGGTACATAATCAACTTCTCTAGTCTAACATGGCTGCTTCATTTTATTGTTTAGGCACAATATTTGGGAGTATTATAGATTTAGGGTGAAACTAGCATTTCCTTGTTTCAGTAGCAGGTGGATCTCTAAATAGAATCAGACTCCCCTGTTGTAGACAGATTGACTCCAGAACTCACCCCAGTCTTTTCATCTATGATTTTGATTCCAGCAAGAGAGATGTTCACCCATATTTTCTGCTTGTGCTGTCCTTGGGAGCGGGCTGCAACTGCCATTCCCTATTAATTGAAAGCCAGCATGAATACTATATGAATCGATTAAATAGATAATAAAAAATAAATGTTTCATTATTCAAATCAGGCAACTTCACTTTGTGTTCTTTTCTTAAAAGACCATGTAAAATCTATTTTAGAGCCTTTTTTGTGCTTCCATCCAAAGAAAAATACAGCCACAGGGTTACAAGCTGCTTGCCTCAGTTGTGAATGGATCTAATGCATCCCTTGATTTTTGCAGTCCTACCGAATCAGGATGCAGTATAATGAACTGTCCCTTCTCAACATATGGATATCTATCAACACTGTTTGTATTATATTAGCAAATACACAAGTCCTGAACCTTACTTCCCCTGCCCCAGTTAGTAAAGCTTTCTGATGGAAATTATGAAGAAGAGTGACTCTCCAATAAGGAAGCTAAATACAATTTATATGAACCTCAGGATACTCATTGTTCTAGCAATGCTTCGATCTTACTTTTTTCCTCTGGTGCAAATTCTAGATACTTTTCTCTTCTTCCAACTCTTGTTTTATAAAACCTCACAAACATGACGTTTGGCCCATCTCCAAACTAAGTCTGTGTCAGCATGCAATAATGAATTACTCCAAAAACTCTGGTAAATCCAGATTTGCAAGCACATCCTGTCCAGTATTAGCAATCTTATCACCCTCAATGCCCAAGATGTTCTTCTTGGATAGAAAGCCATATCTATACATCTGATATGCCTTAAACTTGCAGGAGATGACTCAAACCTACCTTTAATTTCATCATTGAATCCTGGCTCATTTTGTCTCCCCTTGCTTCTGGAACATCATCAATACCGATCAGTTTGGCCTTGTACTTTACCCCATCACCTTGAAATCTGGCCAAAAGGAATTCCTCTGTCTTTTCCAGTCCTGAAAAGCCAGTTTAACTCATGTAAGTCCATCTGCACTCTTGCTGTGGCTACAGATAACAGAGTACAGTATGCATTTTATAACAGCCAGTGCCCCACATCTATGTATTTAATAAATAACTAGGTCTTCTACTGGATGCAATGAGCATATATTCAGCATATAGCAATTCTTTCGTCTTGCACTAGCCATAAATATACTTGAGCTATAACTGTGTATAGAGGAGCATGAAGGGTCAATTCTCTGAACAGACAGTTACACATACATAAAAGTTGAAAAAGCCAAGATTGGCTGCCCACTTTACAAACTCAAACAATTCTGCTATGTATGGCAAGACCATAAGATGGCAGTCTAATGCAAGATTCCAATTAGTTTGCTTCTGATTCAGAATAATTTAAAATAAAAAGGACAGAGGGATACTCAAGAAACTGTAATATTAAACCTTATGTATGTTTTTGGACCCTATAAAATATATTAAAGATTCACAAGCTTCAGGGTCAAGATTTGCTGCTACTGGACCACTGACCCCACCAAATCTGTTCATTTTACTATTGTATTTTCCAAAGCACATTTTCCCCTGTTTCTTGCATCAGTTTGCAAAGGCTTAAAATATATTTGGCATGAACTTTGTTGTAATTTTCACACGTTCCCCAACTATAAGCATCTCCTGCAAACAATTCCTCCTACTATCTGCCTTCCCAGTTGCTATTTACCCCTAGATAGATTCATCCATTTTATTCATTAGAGAAGTACATCCAAACTGGACAATTCCAAGCCCAAATGATGAGTACAATCTGATTTAAACTGTACCGAAACACGGTTTAAAAGGTCCTCTTTCCTATTTTGATCTGCACCAGGCTTCCACAAGTTTCCACAAGTCTTTTCCAGACTGTTTCAGAAATGATCTGCCTTCTGATTCACTGTTATACCTTACCTTTCTTTTTCTCTTTTTTGGAAGGCTGTGGTTTGAGTGGCGTTTGCTGCTGGACAGTTTGCTGCTGATTGTTGACACTGGCTGTTTCTGCTTCACTTGACATGGTGAGAGGCCAGCTTCAACTCCAAAGACAAAGACTGTGCTTAATAATAAAACTGGTATCCAGTTCCTGATCGTCAGAGGACAAGCATACCACTTTGACCTTCAGAAGAGAAAATGGATATACCGATTTATCTCAGTGTGTGTTCCATTCAAGCAGGGAGGAGAAACTCAAAGTAGATGTGTGCTTTTTAATGATCTCCATTTGGGAGCAAACGTTTGATCTGGTAAACCTCCATTCTCTCTCTCTCTCTCTCTCTCTCTCTCTCATTAAAAGTCAACAGAAAAATTAACCAGGTTTGGTCCAAAGGTAGATGGGGCCATATACTATAATGTATGAGATGACTTAGGTCTCTTCCATTGTCCTTCAATTTTTTTAAAGCCCAACACATTTACAATAGTACTGAACTCTTTCAACCCCAGAGGCCTCCTTTCAGCACATCCTAGTCATACAGGCATTCTAGGAAGCACCAGGGAAGAGGCCTCCAACCTGCAAAAACTCAGTCCTGTTTTAAGTATGGCAGGATTTTGAGCAGACTATCTTAGAAACCTTGTCTGTTCCAAAAAGTACAGCTCATCTGTCCCCTACAATTAGTTTCTTCTGAAAAAAAGGACAAAAGTTAACTGGACTTCTTTCCAACCAGCATCAATCATGCCATGGATCCACCAGCGGTTAAAATCCACATTCACTCTCCACAAGCTCTGTGGCAGAGTTTTTTGATCCCTGTTCAAAGTTGAACATGGAGCTCAAGAAATGGAAACTTATAATGTATAAATATGAACCTTTATATTAGAATAGAATATTTGTCCATTCTGCCTCAGTCTGACACCGATCCTTCAAATTCTAGGTCTTATTAAATAAGACATTGAATTCTAGATTTTTTGCATGGAAAGCATGTGCTTTACAACTGTACTATAGTAAAGGTAATTTGTCTTTTGAGTTGAGCTTGATGGTGACTTCATGGAACATCAAAGCAGTTGTCTTCACAACAGGATATAATTGATTTGCCACTGCCTTTTTTTCATTGTATGTTTTTTCTGTTTTTTGGGGGGGTTGCCATTGTATTTTTCTGGGGGAGGGATTGCCATTGTATTTTTTTTTTCTGGTTCCAATATTGCCTACAGCCTCAGTATTCTGATAGCCTTCCATTCAAGTACAGATAAGGAACAACCCTGCTTAGCTTCCAATCCCAGACAAGGTCAGATATCTCCATAATAATTACAATAGTGTTGAAAGGCTTTCTATCTTGTAATTCCCTGACAGTGACAATCAAAAACCAAAAGGATCTTGATGTAGCTCAGTTACAAATTTCTTGATAAACTATGTAGAGATAACTCCTGGATGTTAGAATGGTTCTTACATTGATAAAATTAAAGTTTAATGGACTTAATCCAATTTGGATTTAAGCAGGTCCTGATAGTACTGGAAATAAACATACAACTTAGTTTCCTGTCTCCAAAGGGTTGCCCTACTCTCTAAATTCATCATTTTAAGATTCAATCAAAAGATTTCTGAACACTCCTTTTTCCTGGCTGAAATACACATTTAGAGATACGTCCTGCTCCTGTTTATTCCATCTGTCCCTGCTTTATCGTGAGCAGCTAAAATGAATAATTATCTTGTCTAATCTCTTGAATACTGTCTTCCCTTGGAAAAAAGTTGCCTGTCTCTCTTCCTCATTCTTAGATACTTTCAGTATTATGAGTTTACTCCGATGTTGCAAAGAGGCCAATGGCACTATTTTATGCTTGTGTGTGTGTGTGTGTGTATCTATATAGATACACACACTTTAAACCTTTCTGCTGAAGATTTTAATTAACTTCATTTGGCTGCGCATGTATATTCCAGTTGCTGGTTTTAATTTATAAACTTCATATTTGAATTGTAACATTACGATGCTGCAAATTACCCTGGGATAGCTTTGTTTAGAAAGGCAGCATATAGTAGTTTAAAAATAATAACAATAATAATAAATCTCCCATCATTCTTCAGCCTCTGTGGTTCCCCTTGCTTCTTGATCTGAAAAATCTCTTTCAGAGAAAGTGTTTCATTACGATACCTTCCTTTGGGATAAACTGAAGCGTAAGTTGCAAACAGCTGCTGAGATAATGACTAGACAGTCTTATACATACATACACCCATCATGACTAAGAAAAGTGCCAGAGTCCTACCTCATCTGGTAAAAATTTGTTGAAATATTTTAATTGCTTTTCCATCAATCTGAAGAGGAATAATAAAAATAAATAAAGCCTTTTTGGCATGGCACTAAGCAAACTGAATCAGAACTTCTAGAGCCGTTGACATAGTCCCATATTCCACGTGGCTCTGAATGGAGTTGGCTTGCGTAGAAAGGAGAAATGGGCTATAGATGGAGCCAAGGGTCCACCATTCAGTTTATTTTAGGGCCTCCATAGCAACTCATCAATCAAATCAAAACATTACATGGTATTAACGTTTTGGCTGCAGCCTGCTAGACATTGTGAATTTCAACTCTCATCACCCCCATCAATGTGGCAATGGACAAAAGATTGTGGGAGCTGTAGACCAAACTGCAGAGGACCAAGGTAATTTTAGACCTAGACTGAATGATCTCACAGAAATCTCCTTCGCAGAGCATACACTATGTTGTTTTAGAAAAAATATAGTTGTACATTAAAAAATTTTTTAATCATCTGGGCGGACTAATATTTTCTGTGTCTGTGAAAGTAGCTGTAGCAAGCAGTATCAACTCAGTGGCTCCTGCCACGCCCTTATCAGCTTAGGTCAGTGTTTCTCAATCTCGGCAACTTTAAGATATATGGACTTCAACTCCCAGAATTCCCCAGCTAGCATGCTGGCTGAGGAATTCTGGGAATTGAAGTCCACACATTTTGAAGTTGCCAAGGTTGAGAAATGCTGGCTCAGGTGTTGATTTTCAATGCCAGATTAGGTGATTGCTGCCTGATCCTTATCATTCTCTATATAGTCATATGGGATCCAGAACTTTTGCCCTAAGAAGTAGCCACAGCTGAACCACTGAATCCAAAACCATGGGGGGCATCAGCCTGCCCATGCCTACCACCTTTGGGATTCCACTAATTTTTCTACTTTTATAAGGAGATTAAAATAGTCAGTTGCAGAATAATCTATTTATTCCTACCAAACCAGTCTTCTACAACCTGCTGCTTTCAAGATGATAACCCACATTATTGCCAAAAAGCGTGAGTCATATAGGTTAAACCTGGCTCTCCAGAACATGAACTTTGTTAGGTTAAGTGATGCTTTCAACTCAAGGCACTTCACCCAAATAGAGAAGTAGATCATATTGTATAGTCCAAGGAAATCTACATCATTTCCAAACTAAAATGGTCATCTGTACACTGATTGTGCCACAGCAGTTGCTGGACCAAAAGTCTTTCCCTTGACAAACATCTTGAAATAATATAATATAAGGCCTGTTGAATATGTTGAATGGATTACAATCTCAGGAATTGTATAGCCTCAGAACCTGGAAGGTTACTGCAACAAGCTATGCGATATTATGACGCCCTCAACCCAGCCTGTTGAAAGTATTTGTTAAAGTCTTAGAAGTGCCAAATATTCTTACTGGAGCTGCTTTTCCTCAGTCAAATTTGGAAAGTCTACTCGAGATAAAGTTGGATTTCAAAGAATTTAGGATGGGGGTACAATTGTCATAGCCTCTGGAGTTTTTGAACATCTTATATAATAGTCTCTGAAAGCTATGGTACTGTATCCTGCCTCATTCAGGGAAGTTTCCCATCGGTCACAACTATGAAGTTGTGATAGATGCCGTTATATTTTAAGTAACTCATTTCCATTTCTTCATTTCTCTTGGAACACTGACCTGAATGACAACCAAGAAAATTATGAAAAAACATCAAGTCCTGCATCTTAAGAATCTGAGAGTTTCCTATCTCCCTCAAAGTTTTGTTATGCAGTATTTTGCTGAATGCTGGAAATAAAATATTCAGAGGTTCAAGCTGAATTCCTGGTGACTACAAGGGCATGTCCATGTAATTTTCTTGGCAGCAATATGGAAACATCATTACCTTCTTCCAGCATGTTTGTTCATCTTCTCAGTCTAGTACCAATAGAAGAAAATATATGTAGCTCAGGATTGAATGGTGGAGTCCTTGGGGTTCTCTGAGGTTGGTTGTTTTCTTGCAGACGTTTCATTACCTGGCTAGGTAACATCTTCAGTGCTACCTAGCTGGGTAATGAAACATCTGCAAGAAAACAACCAACCTCAGAGAACCCCAAGGACTCCACAATCTCAGTCTAGTGTACAGCTCTGAGATTTCCTTGTGATTTCCTGTTTCCTTATTGACTCTGTATAGGGAGCTGGGGAGATTACCTTGGAGAAGGCAACCAGAAGCCATTTGGAGAACAACAGGCACAGGGGGACAGGAAAGTATTAGAAAGACTCAGACTGCCTTCCCCAATTTCCTGGGACATAAGAGGGAGGTAAGGGAAAACACAGGCAGACTTGCAAGATTCTGTTATTATAGTCCAGTGTTCCTCAATCCTGGCTGTCTTATGCTGGCTGGGGAATTCTGGGAGTTGAGGTCCACACAGTTTAAAGCAGCCAAGGTTAAGAAACACCGCTATACCCTATCTCAATAAAGTCTAGTCCTAGTCTTCCTGTGGAGGTAGTTTCCTGATCTGGTCTACCTCATAAGGCTGAGCCCATGCTTAGCTTTTTCAGTTTTGCCCAAGGTCAGCTATATGCTGTTACCTTCCATATTCCAGTCCTTCTCATGAGAAAGATTCATTTCATTATTTCTACTGAATAAGGCAGCATTAAGCCCTAGTAAATTAAAGCATGTATTAGAGGGAGTTCATGCATCTATTTTCCAGAAAACAGTCTTTGGTTTAAAAGGCCACTGATAACTAATGTAAAGATAAAGAGAAGGAGAATACAGGCTTTGCAAATGTTTATGATCAATTAGTATCTGGTCAGCATCCTGCAGAGGAATGAGCACCAGTCACAGTCTTCCCATTAAATCATATTTTATTTAGTTACCGCAAAATTTGTGTTGTTTGCAGATTTGTGTCCTCTTGTTTAGAGATATACAAGTATTTGTCCTCCTGGCTTATCTGTG